TACTTGCCTAATATAGGATTTCATATAGCATGAATACAAGCACACCTTCTCCTCTCTCACTATGAACCCTTTCCCGTGTGTCAGTGCTTAAAACAGGAGAGTCTGGGCTGACTGTGTTCAGGCTCCTCAGCAAACCGGGCAGCTGGGTGTGGGTGAAGTCCAACGCCAAGATCATCTACAAAGGAGGGAGACCTGAATTTATCATTGCATATCAGAAAGCTATAAGGTAAGTGTCCCCTCGACTGGTTGATTAAAGGATGAAATCAGAGAGTCACGTGACACTGTAGGAATAAGAGGTTGTCTGGTAATGGACTGTGTTGTGTCCGGTTGTTCCAGTAACGCTGAGGGTGAGGAGTATCTGCGCCAAAGGAGCCTGAAGCTTCCCTTCAGCTTCACCAAAGGAGAGGCCACCCTCTATAACACCGGCCCCACCATGGACATCCTGCAACATCAGTCCAATAAAATGTTCAGCAACAACGACATGAAGAAGGACGTGGTGCCCGGCTCTTTGCTGGACTGCTTCTTGAGTCAGGATGAAAGTCTTTACACCCAGCCTGTGGAGACCCCACTGCCTGTGGATCAAGTGTTCATGGACAGCAGGGCCCTGGTCAGCGTTGTCAGTGATGCGTGGCAGGGGAACGAGGCAACGGTCACAACAAGTGAGCCTGTTGTGGTGAAAGAGGAGGCCAAGCAGTCCGTCATGGCCGTGATCGGCAGCTTTGAAAAAATGGCGCAGAGTGGGGATTTTTATTCAGCGCTGCAAACACTGGAGGTGGATAACGCCGAGCTCTTAGAGTGGGAAAATGCTCTGAAGAGATTAGGACAGGAGGATTCGCAGAGTAAGGTCAGTTCTGATCTGGACAGCATTGTCGCCAGCGATGTATTTGACTACATCGACAGCATTTTGTTCAAGGAGAAAGCCGAGGATTGTCTGGACGCCGTCCCTCCCAGCTGCCTCGCCGCCATCAGCAACCATCAGCAGGAGCCCTTCACTCAGGCTGCCCACGTCTCAGCCTCTGATCTCTGCGAGCCACAGTTATTACAGACACCCAGCCCTGATTGCACTTACTCTCCGGTGAAAGGCCCCTACGTTCACCAACAGGATGCGGTCAGTGTAGCAGTGACATCAGGGCAAAGCGCCCAGATGCTGTCTCACCGGGGTCCCCAGCCCGACCCCAGCCTGCCTTCTCTTCAGCAGCTCCAGCTCCACGACATCTTCAGCCCATCTATTGAGCTGCCTGATCTCACTGTCCCTGACATCTCAGCTGGTAATTCTTTAGCTCCTTTTCAGTCCCATGACCAAGCGTCTGTCGCACATATGGGCTTCCGTCAGGACAGTTCTGGTCAAGTCCAGCAGTCCAACCATCTCCTGCTACACCAAAACAGTTTGCAGGCACCTGTAATGGCAGGAAGTCGTCACATACAGAGCTCTGTTCCCCAACCAAACAGTTCACCACCCACTGTTATGGACAGTGTGCCACCACTGATTCCTTGCCAAGACTTTACTTCCTCCAATGCACCTAATATTCCCTTTCAGTTTTCCTCACCTCGCCTGCAGGAAAGTCTTCCATTTGACAAGCACAACCTTCCTCGTCAGCAGTGGCCACAGAGCCAGCAGCAAAACCTGCTTCATGCTAGCATGATGCAAAATGGACACAAGACCATGCCAGCACTGCAGAGCCAAAATTCACAAAACCAAACCCGTGCCAGTTTTTTCCCGAATGGCACCAGACTGAATGGCACACAGCAGGGAGGGCTGGCAGGTTACCAGGCAGCTGCACCCAGCAGCTGCATGTTTTCTTCCAACCCAGACATCCTGTCCATCCCTGAGCCTTCAAGCCTCAAGGTGCCTGGCACGTCTTTGGATCAGAGTCCTCCTCAAGGTTCCTGCTACTCCCAGTGGAACCACAGCGAGCCTGCAGTGGGCGCATCAGCCATCAACCAGCAGAACCTCAGGTCTCTAATTGTTCCTCCCATTGTGCCTTCCTCAGAGCACTCACACAGCATTCAGCACTACCTAGAAAGCAACAAGCACATACAGGTAAGCACTCAGAACTGAACAGTCACCCCCAGCTTGCATTAGTAGGTGGCCCTGAGTCCCGTCATCGAAATGTCAAATGTATGAATGTAGGAGGCTTTTTTGGAGGAACTGCATAATTGGCAGTGAGATTTCAGATGGCGTAGTTTGTGTTACCAACGGTAACTGTGGTCCCAGCTGCCTTCACATAACAGTTTAACAAGCTGTTGCAGTGTGGATTAATGCTGATCCACCACGGTTTCCATGATCGTCCTCATCTCATTTCTCTGCTCAGTGCAAGTCATTGCACGGGAAATGACTTTGCATTGAGCTCCAGACCGAGGGGACCTGATTTAATAATCACACTGTCACCTTCTCACCAAGCGTTTCGCTGATGGTCTTGTAGCCCAGTCCGGAGGGTCTATCCTGCCCATGGTAGTGGAGAGGTTGGGATGGAAGAAGCTGATTCTGTGGACAGGTGTCTATGCACATAAGTTAAGATTGGGAGCATCTGTAAGATGAGATTGGTTGACTGATTGATTGTAGTCTGCGAGCCACTTGAGCACACAACCAATGTGTGGGGTGCCAAAGACTTATTTCACTCAGTGACATGCAAATCAATGCAATCAATCAGTTTTTCTGGATTATTGGTTCATATTTTGTCTCGCTCCAGTAAAATTAACTACATTCGGCCTTAGTTTGTCCTCTCTTCCCTCACTCGTGAACCCAGAGATACCAGAGAAACCCTACTCGATGAGAGGGTTCAGGTCCTCGCTCCGGGACCTGACCCCTCTCATCGAGGGCAACCCCAGACTGGAGTCCAGCCCCTTTTCAGGAGGCTGATTTCAGAGTGAAGCCGTGCGTTGAGGTAAACCCTGCTGTAACTAGCTAGGACCTCTCAAACCCACACACCAGCTCAGGCTCCTTCACCACCAAACTGGTTCCAAGTCCCAGTCGCCAGTCTCGATAGTGGGGATTGGTCACCTAGGGCTTCTGCCGCTGGTTGTCGCCCGACACTGTGCCTCCTGCAGGCTGTGGGTCTACAGGTGGGCATGTAGCCTTTTCAGGCTGAGTCCCATAGGCTAAAGACACTCATCCTCACCATTTTGCCTTGGGAAACCCTCCCAGGGGGCAAAAGCAACCCGACAACATAAGCCCTGGGACACACAAACCCCACGTAAACATGCTGAGGTGGCGATCTGAGCCCTCTGATACTCCTGATTTTAAAATCCAGCTGCAAACCTTTCCTATAATTAAATTGTGAGCAGATGATCCGTCTGCATCTCCCTCGATGCGCTCGCTCTGAGAGAAGAGTGAACTAGCAAGAGTCATGACTCTTGTTGTGTTCTTACTTCCTGTTTTTAACTGGACCGACTTCCTCTTCGTAATGTCAGACAGAAACAACATGTTTAGTCATTTTAATGATTCTATATTCTGCATCTGAAGAAATTATCACATGTATCTGTTTCCTAAGTGAGGCTTTGGGTATCTGTTCTATTTGCAATCATTATATTTTTATTTTATCCAAAAAATTTGTGTTTTTCTGCTCATATGTGCAGCGATAAAGAAATATAAAAGAGAATGTAGTTTTTGGTGTCAAAGGTCTGACTCTGCTGTGAATGTCTCTGTCAGTGTAATGGTTGAGCATCCTGTTGTCTCTGTTCAGCAGAACGATATGAGCCCCGCTGAGCACAACAGAGCTTCCTTCACACTTTCTCTGATGCAGCCGCACACCTGATGGGATGGAGACACGCCTCCGTGCCGCTGCTGCCGGTGCTACAGTTGCTGGAGAAGGACAAACCCCAGCATATCTCTGCCTGTATCAGTGCTTATCCACACATCCACACACGTACACTTATTACTGTGTTTTATATCCCTCTGTATCAGATACGCTTCGTCCTCTGTCGTCTTTAAAAGCCGTTGCTTTAGTGAAGATACACGATGATAACAATGAAGTATGAAGCCACAAGTGCATTTATGGTGGAGCTCGAGGTAGAACACAAACAGCCAAAGATGTTATTTAGAGCCATGATGTTTAAGTAAAGTCGGGATGAATTTCAGATTTATTATAAAACAGCGTAAACGTCAGCAAGCAGTACCTTCCAAGATGTAATCTGGATACTTTAAATAAAACCCTTAAAGGGCTTGACTTGAGTGCATAAACGTGATGCTAGTTGTGTTTGTTTAACAAAAGGTCTGCACATGTTCAGCACATGTTATTATGTCATGCATGTGTGTTTCTGTGTGCAGCGTAAATGATGGAGAGTTTGTTCCAGTACGCAGACGGAGCTGTAGAAACAAACATTACTTCATGAAGTCGTTGCCAAAACGTAAAAAACAAGCATTGCTGGACCAGAGTCGATGTAGGCGTGGTCGTATGGGGGTGGGGCCATGCACTGTGTGGATTTGGTAAAAGACGGTAATGAGAACCAGTGATATCAGAGTCGCTGTAACTGTACGAACGTTCAAGTAGAAGCATGTATCACTGCAAAGTGTTACAAACCTGTGGGAGTTGCACACCTGGAGGTAGTGAACAACTTAAAAGTTTTAAAGATAGTTTTAGGTATTTCTTAGACTCACACCTCATTAATAGATGGACTTCTGACCTGGTTCAAAGGATGTGTCATACATGCTTTATGAGACGCGTCCAGCTGGACATGCAGCAGCTTTGCTCCC